AGCATGATGTTTCTGGACATTTATTTAAAGGTGGAAGCAGAATTTGTGAGGATTACCACTGTTCCTCTCATCACAAAGTTTTTTTTCTTAACTTGACCACCACACCAATCAGCTCATCAGAATCATCAAGAAAACGGGTAGAGCAAAAGGGAATAAAATTAACCTCGCTTTTGCTCCGACTGCACAGGTATCATTTCTCTATTGTAGATCACGTTTAGAAAGAAGTAATTTTTGTCCAGTCTAAGTTGCCATTTGTCAGAAACCAATAGCATCTGCAAGTGCATCCTATATGAATATAATTTTTTGGTTGTATTATAAAAAGCTTCTCAGATTTAACAGCAACTTTGTAATTTACTTGTTTCTATAAATAAATATTCGTAGCATGCATGTGCCTTTTTAACTGATTGATAAATTTCACAAATTAAACATTTATAGAAGTATAATAGGCTTGTTCTATGTATGTTGACTACTACTTTTTTTTATTTAGAATGAAACTGTTAAAAAGAAGAGGGAGTGCCTTCTCAAGGCACTTTGTATCTACCTGAATGAAGAGCCGAGAAGTCTCTTCAAAAGAATATCAGGTAAGTATTACTTATTATTGCTGCAGTACCTGTATGCTACAGCTGTTAAAAATCAATTTAGCATTCTGTAATACGGCTGGTAGAAACGGGTAGTTTTGTCTAGACCAGGGGTCCCTAAACTCGGTCCTGAAGGGCCGATGTCCAGCAAATTTTAGCTCCAACTTGCTTAGACACTTGCACGGATGTTTTTAGAAAGCCTAGCAAGAGCTTGATTAGCTGGCTCAGGTGTGTCTGATTGGGTTGGAACTAAAACAAAGCAGGACCTGGCCCTCCAGGACCGAGTTTTTGCACCCTTATTCTAGACCAGGGGTGCCCAAACTCAGTCCTGGAAGGCCGGTGTCCTGCAAAGTGTAGTTCCAACCCCAATCAGACACACCTGGGCTAGCTAATCAAGCTCTTGCTAGGCCAGGGGTGTCCAAACTCAGTCCTGAAAGGCTGGTGACCTGCAAATTTTAGCTCCAACTTGCCTCAACACACCTGCAAGGATGTTTCTAAAAAGCCTAGTAAGACCTTGATTAGTGTAACAGAAATTAGCTCATTTTATGAATATTAATAATCAACAATAACGGATTATTCCTAATTATTAATATTCCGGCTTAAGCTTCAGTCAATTTGGTCAAACAAACATATGATTGTATATGATCCTGCCCGCGCGACCGAGCGGATTCTCAGATTATGAATATTAATTATCAACATTACCGAATTATTATTAATCATTAATATTCCGGATCAATTTATTGTTAATTTGACCAAACAAACACAAGCAGAGCCGCCGCTCTTCCGAGCGGACACGGTAATGATCTATTCATTTAGAAAAAGGGAATTTAATTGCTACTTCTTAAGAAGTAGATTAATCATTTATAAGTTTTAATCAACTTATAACAGCTAGGCAGGGGAATCTGTATTTCAGTGACATTTTCTCGTGAGGCAAACAATACAATTCATTTGATTATAATGGGATTTATTAACTAGTCAGACAGATAACGAACAATTGCACGGACATACATTAAACATAGAACAAAGGTAAACCACGTGGAGTGGTCGGGTCTATACAGGTCTAGAGAACATGTAACAACAAAGAGAAATAGTAAAGCGAGGAAATAGAGATTTCAGATAAAGATTGACAACTTTCAGTTCCACACACACCATTAAGGATCACCAAGATTATAAAAAACACCTTTTGGATAAAAGGGGCACAGCTTATTCACATAACTAAAAATACCTGGACTTTCATGTCTGGAGGTCTCTCTCTTTATGCGAGTCTCTTCCTGATGAAACTTCTTTGATGTCCTTCTTGATGGGTTGAGTTTGTAATACAGTTCGGACGAACACGATCGCAAACTTTAAACTGAGTTTACTTTGCCGGAAAATAAGAAAACGTGCCTGGGAAAGTCCATGCGGCGTAAAAGAGCCGCGTGGCCCTCCAAGGGGCCACTTTTGAAGGGTTCTTTGTTCGGACTTCTCTGCTCAGATGTTTGGGAGCAGTCTGGTTATACCTGCGGGTCACGTGACGACCCGTTCAACATTCTTGACCAATGATTTCAGGGCAAAGTTTGAACGCGAAACCTTCCTTTGTCTCGAGGCTGCTCGTATGCAAATTTGAGTGTCCGCCCAAAGCATGCGGAGAGGCGTTTAATGCAGGGAATTAAAGAAGGGAAGTAATGCGAGTTATGATCTTGCTCTATGCATCATGTGTTGTAAAATGTCAGCAGAAACCCATCGGTACCAAACATGGGGGGTTTAAAAGTACATCAACATAATTTTTCACATCCCTACATTATTTAAACTAAAAAGGGCCTAAAAGTACGAATTTGTATAAACTATGAGGAATCGTACACATTACACATGTTAAGTGTAATTAAACAAGAGATTTGGGTTCTAAATGTCTTTGTTTAAATAAAAAAAAAACATTGGAGAGGAATGTCTTTTTCTTCTGTGAGCAAAAGCTGACTAAGGATAGCTTTATCTCCTTTTATCTTATCTGCCATGTTCTTTTGAAGTCGGCAGAGAGTGGTTTAGGACAGTTCTGTGAAGTGTCCCAGACTCGTTACTTGTCAGCAGGAATTTTTTTAGGCCAGACTTTTCGTCACCGAGTGATCTAAATTGCGCTGGAAATTGAACCCAGACCGTTTTCATGGAATGTTGAACGGAATGTTTACCTCCAGCATATATGTTACAATATATATGTTACCAGTTATGTTACATTAGCTTGCCCAAGTGTGTCTGATTGAAGTTGGAACTAAACTTTGCAGGACACCAGCCCTCCAAGACTGAGTTTGGACATGCCTGTACTAGGCTTTCTAGATAATTCTGTGCAGGTGTGTTGAGGCAAGTTGAAGCTAAAATCTGCAGGACACTGGCACTCCAGGACAGAGTTTGTACACCCCTGGCCTAGACCTTTCTGATTATTTTAATTTAAAGGGATAGTTCACGCAAATTGAAAATTTCCTGTTAATTTACTTATCCCTACTGTTCATCCAAGTTGTGACCTTTTTTCTTCAGTATGTCATTAAAGAAGATTATAGCCTGTTTATTTGTGGTTCTTATCGATTCATATAATAGCAGTGAATGGTGATAGGATTTTGCAAAAGAAATGCATACGAATGAGTTCAAATCAATAGCTATGGTTCCTAATGGCACACTGATGTCTTTTGAAGATGTCTTTTTTACAATATTAGCTTTAATCTACAGCCTGGTCAAACACAGGGGTGTAAACTTGTCATCTTTCAACAAAATGCGCCATTTTGATAGATATTAGGGATTGCCTCATCAGCTCGTGCAAATAAAAGGACTACAATCAGACTAAATTCGCACATGAGTTAAGAACTTTTTGACCAGGCTGTGGTTTAAAGCTAAACTTTAAACCACAGAGTGATTATTTCTCTTTACTAAACCTCTGTTTTTAATCGGAATCCATGGCTATTTAAATTCATCTGTATGTATTTTAATAAAAAAAAATATCATTCACTCCTGTTATAGGTCCATAAATATTTGGACATCGACATTCATTCATTAATTTTCTTGACAGCTTAGTCCCTTTGTTAATTAAGTTATTAATTTAGTCCCTTAATCCCTTTATTATTATTAATCTGGGGTCGCCACAGCGGATTGAACCGCCAACTTATCCAGCAAGTTTTTACGCAGCGGATGCCCTTCCAGCTGCAACCCATCTCTGGGAAACATCCACACATACACACACACTACGGACAATTTAGCCTATCCAATTCACCTGTACCACATGTCTTTGGACTGTGGGGGAAACCGGAGCAGCCGGAGGAAACCCATGCGAACGCAGGGAGAACATGCAAACTCCACACAGAAACGCCAACTGAGCCGAGGATCGAACTAGTGACCTTTTTGCTGTGAGGCGAACGTGCTACCCACTGCGCCACTTTGTTGCCTGGACATCGACATTATTCTAAAATTTTTGGTTCTATACACCAACACAATGAATTAAAATTCAGTTTGTGCTTTAAAAACATACCGTCAGTTTACAGTTTACATCCAAATCAGGTGAACGCTGTAAGAAAATACAACAGTTTGCAAATGTGCCTCCCACTTGTAAAGGGACCAAAAGTAATTGGACAGAATAAAAATCGTAAATTAAACTTTTACTTTTTAATACTTAGTTGTAAGTCCTTTGCAGTCAATTACAGCCTGAAGTCTGGATCAACAGACTTAATACAGTTAATACTTAACAGTTAAGTACTTAACACTTTTACAATGTTGCATCAAAGTTGCAGAACAATGAATAAAAACACTTTAATATTTTATTTTGTGTAGACATTTCACAAATCACAACCAAACAAGCCAGAGGCGTCAGCTTTACATACCTGACATATTTAGCTTTCAAAAAGCTAAATATTCAATTAGTACAATCAGAAACTTTAACTATTTACCATAATGTCAAGCACATGATGTTTAACTGAATTTATTAGCTTTATTATTTCAAATTAATTATAAGCATATGCCTAAAATTATAGGCCTGAAAATAGATTTAGCATCACATAACATAAAAATAAAACAAAAATCTTATTACTACTCTGCAACAAACATAAGCAAACAGTTTTGGTACCGTTTGTATCAAATTGGTATATGTTGTCACTCGTAGATTCTCTGATGGTAAAGTGTATGTTTATATATCTCCAGAACGTAAAATGCATAACTTAATTTTAAAAATCTCTTTATGTTTTAATAGAACCAATTTAAGTAAGCCTAGGTTTTTAACCGAACTGGACTTTTCAAAATAACTTTTATCTAATAACCAATTATGGGTAATGGCTCCTAAACTTGATCTCTTTCTTGACCTCAAAGGCATTGTAATAAGTAATGGAATATGGGTTATTTCACAAATGTAATTGTATTTTCTTACAAGTATGTTTGACTTAAAATAAATAGCATGTCTGGTATCGTTAAATTTTTAATTGCTAAAATAAATATGTAAGTGTAGATGTAATCGTATTTCTTCTCAATCAATCTTTGAAAAAGAACACTATCATGAAAGATGCAAATTTCAGTTAAATATGTGACTGCTTTGAGCCCTAATAGGAAACCAAATAAACAACTATATTGAACAATTCAAACTGCAGAATAATGTTGAAGACTGTACATATTTGTGTAAAAACATTCAAATTTATTTTATTGTCCATTTTGGCAATGAGTATTGATGATGTCTTCAGCTGTGCATTATATTTTGTCAACCTAAAACTTCCATGAAATGTAAAATGCTATAATATTAGTTCTCTAAAATTTTTCATTGTGAATATATTTACGGTATGACTCTGTATTTTTATTTTTAAAATAGGTATCCCTACATCATCACGCTTATGTCTTAAATAAAAGACAAGATGTCAACTATCATGAATTTTATGACACCATAGCAGATGTTCATAGTACCGCCCCGTTAGAGAAGGCAGGCCTGTTTGAATGTGTAGATAAAGCACCCATTATTACTTCCAGCTACCAAGGAGTAATGCTTCTGGGTACAGTCACTGATCCTAAAGCTTTCTACAAGAACCAATTGATCAGGAGTAAAAAGAAGATTAAAGACATAAAGTACTATCTTTGAGGACCACAGCCCCTACTTTGGTCTTGTTTGCACTGAACTATTAGGGCTGAACTATCGCTGTTTAAGGACACAGGCCGCATCTTTAAGGTACTACTTTATATGATCTACACAGATTATGGGACAAACTTTGTATTGTGATTAAAAGAAAAAACTTTTTCTTAAATATTTTCAGATTTTTTTTCTGACAGCCACCATGCAAAGATGACTGATTGCTATTGTTCTCAACATGCTGACGGTAATGCGCATGAAAGGCCTGAGTACGAGTGCAACCCTGTTTTTGATTGTCGAATAAGGTCTATTGTGGTCAACATGTTTAAACAGCATTATAGGGACCATATGGTTTTTCTTCTGGAGAAGATCATTAATGATGTGTGTGATTCTAAATATGATTGTACAGGAGATGGCAAACGTGTGAAAAATCTCAAGAGAGAATTGGACGTTGTGAGAGGGGCCTTAAACTCATGGGCCGATATGATAAATCAATTGAAACACCTATGTTTTCGTAGCAATGGTGCTGTCTGTGCAACCAATACAAAAATTCTGGAGGTGCTGACTGAATTGAGTGATGAGATGGGGGTAACGCAGGTTCTATGTATGTCTACATATATAACAGATATTTGTGTGTCACTGGTTTCACAAAACAAAATAAATATTGCTGAGATTGTGGAAGTTATGACCAGCCACATACTAGAACATGACAGAATGCTTTTAGCAGCATTTCTTTGTTGTTTGGTAATATTCAGTAATGTCTTTATTGTTCTGGTGTACCCTGTTTTTTCTTCAATGTATGACTGTATATATGTATTTTTTTTTCTTATTTAATTTGTCTTTATTATGTTAATGCAATCCATGTTTGTTCATTATGTAATACTCTATGTCAGTGTTTATTTACTTGAAATAAAAGTTTATCAACTAGTGTCTATGCCTTTCCTGTAAAAAAGTAAAAAATTGAGCTAGCTGCAAAACATGATGGTGTGAAACAAATCATAGAAACATTGTCGAAACTGATTAAAGCCCTGTATTTATGCCAAATGTATAATTAAATATTTAGAAAATTAGAATGTTGCAAAGTGTGTCAAGGATTGGTTACTTGTCTAAAGCATAAAGGTATAAACTGTAGATAATTTATTAAAGTTGGTTAACGTTTAAAACAACCCAATAACACACAGTTCTCATGTATAACAGGTTTGTAGTCAGTTTAGAAAGACAACCTAAAAAATTTTCGCCCAATTTCATAATTTCTCTTTCATTTGAAAAAGAGAATGAACAAAAGGTATACATGATATTGTTGGTTGTCTCTGGTTTAAAACCAAAGAAATTACATCTCAAACTTTCATGACAGTTCAAAAGAAAACATTTCTAATTCACAGTACATTCGACACTGTTGCAAAAAGATATTAATGCAGATTTAGTGGCAAATATTCATATAGTTTTGTAGACAGATCGCACTATTGACAGATCACAGTATTATGTTTTTCTCTTCTTTTTCATTCTTTTATAACTTGTTTTAACACATTTGATCTGTTTTTATCATTTTTTATATTTTTTTATTATTTGTTTTTATTTTTCTTAAACATGTCTCTTTTATTCCTGTTTATATAAAGCAATTTAAATTGCCACTATGTATGAAATGTACTATATAAATAAACTTGCCTTGCCTTTGTAGAGTCATAGTTCTTGTGGAAAAAAAAATACTGTGAAGAATAAGAGAACTAAAGAAAATTGGCAGTAGAAATGGATATTGTGACTTTTACTGTATGCATTGTGACAGATGCTATGAGAGTTGTGTAAAATTAGACTTTTAACACATATGCAAAAAAAGTTTGTAAAGACATTTTGAGTTAAAAACTGCAGCACTGGTTACTTGAATTAGGTCAAATAATTTGGTATGATGACAGTGGTGGTAAAAACATAATTTAATGTTTCAAAAACATTCTGCATTAGAAGGTTGAAAAAATAAACTTATTCATCCATTAAAGTTTACTGCAAAGTATTCTTAAAATAAAAAAGTGTTTACTCTTTGTTATTATTGTGCTTTGCTGACAGTATCGAGTGTAGCATTCAACTACAATACAAATAATTGTGGCTAAGTGTTGTTATTAATGTTACTTTGGACACTTTAGAGGTTAAAAAATATTCTTAAATCATGAGTTGAGCCCCAGCCATCTGGATGAAACCCTAAATTCTAACCTTTACACCATATTGGTGTAACCAATGTACTTCAAAACATCACTTTTTTTTCCCTTAAATGAAACATCATTGTTCCTAAAAACTCCTGAAGAAAGGGAACAACGTTAAGAACTTTTGAAAACTGACAGTTTTAAAACATGTATGCTTTGTTACATACAAACTCTGACAGTTGTGCAAAATTACGAATTTTTAGCACATACATAAAACGTTTACATTTTGTGTTGAAAAACTGCTACAGAGTGCAAAATCAAAAGCTTGAATTAGATCGATGCTATTGGTTTGTAAAAAATAAAACTCCAGTCATGCAGTAAGTTTAATGAATAGTATTTTAAACATCACGTTTCCAAGTAAATGCACAGATAATGGGTTTATATTCAGAGTGAAAAACATTCAGTTAGATTTTAGTTTGAAAATTTAAAAATGTGTTTGCCAATAAAAAACATTGTTTAAAGAAGCATATACACTCCCAACAAATTGTGTGTAGTGACAATAATCTTGATTAAATCTATTGGTAGAAGAAAAGCATCATTTACCCTATAAAAAGTAATCAGTCTACTTTCAAGAACTACTTTTAAACTTGACTAATTTTGACAAATTTGTAGACTTACTAGATATGACACTGTTGTATGAACATATAAATGGTGGAATCAGTATTTAAACTAGAAAATTTTACTATAAAACATTAAGTAGATTTAACTAAGGACTGGAGCTGTACTGTTTTTAGATAAACTGAGAGCCTATTTTTCTTCTTAAAATAATTATAAGCGTTTTCCCATTATTCAGTATAATTAACATATTTCTCTTTATATGATCAAGTATTTGCAATGAATTAAAAAACAGTTTGAATCTAAAATTCAGTAACTAAGTTGCCTGGCTTCTATTGTGAGTAATACAATTACTACAATTTATACATTTTATTTATCTTTTGAAACAGAAATAACAATAATGTCTAAAGACTGATAAGTCCTTTTAGTAAACTTTTTATGTTGATTTTTAAACCTACACCAGTAATGACCAGTGCTCAAAACATTAATCTTTGGATTGACTGTATTACAATGTATGCCAGGAATTACAGGAGATGTATGTAAATAAATTGAAAACATGTTAGTCAAAATAAAAACATTCATTTGAAAATGTTTTTCATAATTAAAGTTTTCAATAATTACAAAGACAAGTTGAATTTACATCTGTGTTTTTCAACCAACAGTTTAGAACATTTTTTAGATAGCATTGTTTTAAAAGGTGTGACAGTTTGTTGTCAATACAGATTAAGATTTGTTATTTACTGGATTAATATTGTAAACATTTTCCCAGAGATGGGTTGCGGCTGGAAGGGCATCCGCTGCGTAAAAACTTGCTGAATAAGTTGGCGGTTCATTCCACTGTGGCGACCCAGGAATTAAAAAGGGACTAAGCCGACAAAAAATATTGTAAACATATTTTAATTTAATACTCCGACAAAGATACACACGCACACACACACATAAACACACATACATATGCATACAGTTGACTGCATGTGGATATATAGATATCAACACACTTTCTAATCACCTAACAACATATAGTATTTAGTGGGAGACACCCAACACATACAATCAGATACATATTCTACATCTGATATAAATCTATCTTTCACAAGCAGTTGATGGGATGTTACCCAATGTAGGAGCCATTTTTTGTGTTGTAGTGATTTATGTTGTCCACTAGGTGTCACTAACTGAAAACTATAACTGAGGTGCCTGTGTAAGCGAGGAAGAGCGTCAGGTATGGGAAAGCACACGGTTTTTGACCGTGCTACAGAGTAACGTGTTTGCTGGCCAGAAAACAGCAGTGTTTAGATATGTGCTGTGTATACATGGAGTGAATGTTATATTGACATGATAAAGAAGAAAGGAGAAGCAAAGATAGAGGCTTTGTTTAATTCACCTGCACAAATAAAGACATTCTGCTTAAAAACAACTTTAGCATGCACGCGTGAAATACGTGCTCACCCCCATTTCTGGCGATAACAGCAATGGAAGGCTGTTATACCCAAAGTTTTCCTTATCATCACACACTCAGACACAGACGGACACACAGAGGAAACACAAACAGGCTAAACATAAAGAAATGTTTAAGTTAATAGTTTATTAATTACAATTTGATATAATAAAATATAGTCAAAGATAATAAAATAATTATATAACATAATTTAATAATATAATATAATTAAATAGAATAATATAATGATATACAATAATTTAATATAATAGTAAATAATATAATATAAATAAATAAATATTATAATTTACTGCAATAATTAAAAATATAAAATAATGGTTCTAATAACAGATATAATTTATTTCTGTTTAATTAGAATTTAATTACCGGAAATAATAATTTAATTCGGCTGTTAAAAATCTAATTACCGGAAATATAATTTAATTAGTCTGATAAAAATCGAATTACCGGAATTATTATTTTATATTAAACCGATAAGAATCTAATTACCGGAACTATAAAGTTTATATAAAAGGGGCGGGGCTTAAACCGAAAGTTTACAATCCATCAAACTTTTTGACAGGTGGTGCATCATAACTCTCACTCTTTGGTTTGTCACTTTATGGTAAAGGTAAAAAAGCAAAACTAAAGATTTCATATCAAGCATTGCTGCATTCTGAATTGACTGTTTGCTGAGAAATATTAACTTTTGATCATTCACAGAATAAATATAACGCAGCTTGTTATTTATTCATGAATATACTGAGATCTTTTCTTAAGTATATATATTTTTCGACACTTTTACGATATTTTTGGAGGAAATATAGTAAATTTTTAGAACTAATGTATGGAAATCACAACTGTCAAAGATGATTACCTATTAAATGGCAAATACTTTTGTACCAGCATTAACACAAATGTAAGAAATTGATATTTGATTGTTCGTTTGTTTTTTGTAGATATTTGATGGATGTCAATAGTTTCTATGGTACAAGAACTCACATCGTCAGGTCTTTTTACCAGAAAATCCCTTCACTGTTGCGATAATTCAGCATGTTCACTCACATTCATACTCTCTCTCTCACACACACACACACTGCCTTGCTCTTTCCCTCCCACTCTCACACGTTCATACACTCTCTCACACACAGTTCTCTCTCTATCTCTCCGAAAACGAACCAAACACTTTAAGTGTAAATTATGTGTAGTTTTACTTTCTGAAAATAAAAATAAAAATATTTAGTATGATTGAATGTCATACAATGTTGCACTAATTCACTTAATTTTGATTTTATTGTAAAAACAAAACAAAACATCAAAACGTGTATATTACTGTGTTAAATGAAAATATTTTATGGCTTAAGGCCATGATTTAGTATTGAAAAATGTTTTATTTTGATTATGTTTTAATTAAATTGGTCTTACACCTCATATTTTCAGATTTTTATAGTATATTTATTAATTCTGGTACTTTTACTATAAACCAACATCTCAATCATTTGGTAGAGGCCGATATTTTAGAAATTATGGGATGTGTTGAGAAAAAAATTGCATTGATTGTGTTAACTAGCGACATTAGGAGTTAAAAGCCTCGGTGACTGTCTGTATGCTCATAATGTGCTGTTTTCACAGGTAATCCTTAATAGATACAGTGGAGAAAACTCGCACTTCAGGCTCGCTCGTGTCTGGATACACAAGACAAGTATCGCTTTAACAGCCAAATGGAGAGGAAAAGTTACCT